AGTCCTCGCTGGATTCGGCAGGCGTGAGTCGTACCACGCTTTCCGTTTCATCCAAGTCGATGAGAATAACCTCAAGCCTAGAGCCCTGACTCGTCCGCGTGAGTAGATACGTCCTACCGCCCAAGCGGACGAACGGGCGCGCGAGGAGGTTCTCCGCGTACAGACCTGCCAAACTGTCCATGAGCTTCTCTCGTATCTTGTCGACAGTGGGGATAATAGTCGTCGTCTCCCGCGCTTGCAAATCGAACTTGTGCAACGAGAAGCAGGACGCGTGGGGCCCGCCGAGCTCATGGGAGAACCAGAGCGCGGCGTTTAAGCCGGAAATGAGGCGCGGAGAACGAGAGGCGCGGCTGGGGTCCGATATCTTCGTCGCTGAGATGGCTATTAGCGCAGCGGCAGGATCGGCCAGTACTGATGACTCCGAGTCGGCCGCATGTTGAAGTCGAAGCTCTATCGGGTCCAGCTTGAGTTCCCAGATAGCCGTTGGTCTATTAAAGCAAGCCCTGATGCCGAGTCGCCTTCCGTCCTCGCTGTACTCGTAGCCTGTCGCGAACAAAGTGTCATCCGTGACGAACTGTGTTTGACCAAAGGATATGTTGGCAGCGTCGGATGTCGCGCCACTAGGTACGGATACCGCCCGCACGGTCGGGGAGATGTTACCCCCAGACGGTGTGTCGGCGGAGTCGCCGTTCGGCACCCACCGCGCGATAAAGATCGTCGGCCGCTTTCGCCCAATGTAACCCTCGCCGTAGTCGGGCAGATAACGAAATTTCGCATAGGGATCGTCTCCTTCCTCTGGCGCGTTCGCCTCGGCGGTGTATACTAACGACGACTCCGAAGGAGAAAAAGCGAGAGTGGAGAGCTGATCTAAAAATAAAAAAGGTTCGGGTGTATTTGGGTGCCTGGGCGGGGAAGAGATAACGGGAGGAACTCACCGTCTGCGTAGAACACGCCGTGTGCCTTGGTCACGTTTATGGAGGCTTCTAACCTCTCTCCTTCCCAAACTTCCACGAATCGCTTCTTTTCTCCTGCCGAGTCTGTCTCGCGGAGGATGGCGGTCAGTTTTCCCGAAGGGGAAATCGCCGAGGCGACGACCTCAGGAGATACGTCCTGGGAAGGCGATGCGATCACAGTGAACGTCCCATCGGATCTACTTGACTTTACGAAAAACGTCTTGCTCGTCGTCCTTTTGGCATTTCGTGTGTGATCCTGTGAAGTTGATACCACTTGGATGACTGGTATCGCGTGATTGAATTCAAAGATCACGAAAGAGATGATTATTGATGCGACGCACCCTTGTCGGAAAGGAATCGCGCAGATGCATACACGGGGATGCTCGACAGCTCTGTATACCAACCCTTTGTTGAGGTGGCCATGACGGTTTATGTTCAGGTTGAGTGGTCGTGTGGGGAGGATAGGAGGGATGGGATTAGAGGGCCTAGAGTATATTAATTAAGTTAACATGGCCAGAGATCTAGGCCGCGGCCTTGTTGGCAGTTATGAGACCACCAGCATCGTTGGGGTCCCAATTTGAATGTACCGATTATGTCCGATCGTCGAAAGGTCTGAGAGAGCGGTCTCTCTTAATTTTGCTTCCGCGATCAGAAAAATGGAAGAGGGTGCAGCAATTAATGTGTTGGCCAACACTGTGCAAAGGAGCGAAGAGATCTCCGGTTCCTTTCAGGAACGTCAAATCTGATCGATCGTGGTTTACCGTTTATATCAATTGCAATCGTTAAGAACCTTCGCTAGAACCTTCAAGCCACAAACGGAAGAGTCGATGGACTTACGATACACGACGCCCCCACGCTTGCCGTTTCTAGACGCGCTTTTAGTGTTCCGTCCATAGAAAACTCAACTTGCCACTGATATAGCGCGATAGCCGATACGCCCGGGCCATGCCGACGAGTCGGAGTCGGAACTCCGGGATGCAGCGGTGCGTCGGGTGTGCCCAAGCCACGGCGCGACAAAATTCGCCATGTAGTGCTGCCTTCAAGTGGCTTAGCGAATGGATAACCATTCATCAAGGTTGCCTTTTGGACGTAATTGTTGGGCGCTGGCACTCACAGTAGGTCTACACTCGCACACTGTCATCTCGATGGCCAAACGACTGCTCTGGTTAGTAGGTGCTAAAGCGCTAAATGCTAATGCTGTGAAACCACCCGCTGATCTGATGGCGGGCGTAGTGTGGGTTAGTGATTGATACCCGATGAGCATGTTGTTCATACTCTCTGGGTAATGCATCACGCTCCGGAGAGTATGATGCGATACCATAACGACTCTCAATGCTCCTTCAGTTGAATGGTCATCCGGTTAATCCCCCTTCCGAATTTACTTTTTTCCATGACCATCTTCCCTCGTCCAATCTGAGTTGAAAGACAAGCAGGACGATTTCTTCAGTCGTGTAAACCACATGCTCTACTTCTTCCCCAGAGGTTTTATGGGACTCAGGCATAGAAGCCTATGCATGAGTCCCCTGAAACCTCCGGCGGCGAAGTAGAGCATGAGGTTATGAAACTTCTGGAGCCATTTTAGGACTTGGTAGCTGAAGCGCTGAAGTTCAGACGTTCAGACGTTCAGGAGCAACAGTATTCCCGCGCCACCTGAAGTTGAGCGACATGCCAGTGATCTGAAGCAGGAATCAATGCTTCCGTCTTCGGAGAATAAACAAATGATCGATATGAATGACAGTGCTTGGACCGAATTTGGCCAAGAAGAGACACCGAATCGTTGCAGGGCGTAGAATGATGGGTAGGGCAAGGGATCCAGTTGGCTTACTTATCTATATAGGCAATGCATGCCGGTCGTGGACGAGGAACTCCGTCGTGGGATGGGGTGCCTGCCAGTGGTAATCAGAAAATGTCCGCTGTCAAACGGGGACTTTTCTAATCAGAATGTATCGAAGAGCGATCAGCGATGCATTTTTGGAAGTCACTGGCTGCCCGTGGGGTTTCTCTTCTTCCTTGGTGCTTGTCACCTGGTAAGTGCCACTGGGACAACAGTATGGCGCGTTCTCAAGCGCACTGGCATAACTCCCGCCGTTGTAGTGGTTACTGTAACCCGAAGGCCGCAAGGAATCTCCGTACACCTTCCAAAGTTGTCTAGAAGGCGATTGAGGAATCTTGGATCGCTTGAGTGGCAATAATGTCGCTCAAAAAGGCCCAATATTCTAACAATACTTCTACTTCCAGAAGGGTCGTATGCGGATCAGACTCAGAGTTGGCACACGTGCCCATCAGCAGTTGTGGTGCGGAGCTCGAGCAATGCCAAGACCAGGTAAGCCGCCGCCAGCCCAGGTCACGGTATTATCTTCTTACGTCGCACCCCAAAATGTGACCCCGTTTTAATTTTGTCCTCGAACGACTCAGATATGGGACATTGTGTACCTCGCCAGGATCAATGACATAATACGTCAACCTCGTAAGCCAAAACACTCAATGCTTGAGTATATAAATGGACAGCGAAATAGAGATGTAAGTACGGATACAAAATGTGGTATTATACAAGAAGCCAAATATTCAACTTGAGAGAGTCTGTAGCCCAGTACAGCTTACGCACAACTTACGCCGAGCTCTGGAAAGTCATATGTTCCAGGGATGGCGCTCTCGCACCCAGAGCGATCTCTATGAGAATTGCAGTTGATCTGGTCATTCGGGGTGCTACAACAGCGTAAGCAGAAGCGGTTCAACGCAGGCTCAACACTGGGTCGGAGTTTAAATCCCGATCAGCACACAATTATATCGAAAGGACAAAAACCGAGGAATAACGCACAGCTCAATAAAACTTGCCCCTCGCCTGCCGAAGGTACACTGGGCCCCGTTCGGGAAGCGCACGTCAAATTGGCCTCCGGTATCGCTAGGATCCAAGTGAAACTTTGTCGAATCGATACAACCAGTGACCTATGGAGAATGTACTGAAGTCCAGACAATCCCGCCGAAGGGACACTTGCGAAAGTTACCTGGATCCACGAATTGTCATTCGCGCTTGCTAGAGCGGCCGCAGTGATGAAACCGTCAGGCATCATATTCTTGCAGGGATAGCTGGGACTCCCGGGAGTACAGAAGGCTTTTGCGTTGTTTTCTGCGTCGGATACCAGCTCTGTAATAATGATGGTTTGATCGTGGTCGAACACCCGTGACCAATACGACTCGGAACTCGAACATACCGCCAGATATCGCAGGGAGTAGAAGCGCAAAGTCATTCTCGTCTGTAATGAAAATTGTTGTCTCGATCGAGGGCTCGCCAGTCGGCTCTGGTGTCGGTCTTGTGTCCAAGTCCTGTTCCGTGGTTCTAGAGGCGTCTTGGCGGGGTTGCAGCGCGCCCGCCCGAAACTTAGAGCTCCAAGTGCGAGAAGGAGAGACATTTGAGCTTTTAGAGAAACGAGGGGCAGAGGTAGAGCTGTTTTTCGAAGATCTAATTGCCGGGGAACGAGCGTATGGGTAGAGTGGGTTCGGACGAAGGCTGTACGGGTCAGACCAATGATTACGAATTCCAGTCAGAGCGACACTGTAGACGAAGCCCGACAAAAGCAGTGCAATAGATAGAGAAGAACGCATGAAGAATATAGGAATCGGCCTGCGACTGAGTTATGTTTGAATGAGGAAGTTACGGTATGAAGAAGTTCGAGGTGAGGCGAGGCGCTGGTAGCTCGTGGCAGTGACTCGTTAGTTGGGCAAACAGATCCCAAACATTCCTCCAAGATCCAAATAGGCATCCCATCATATGTGATGTCATACTAGAATTCAACCAGGGCCATGCATAGAACGTTCGTCGCTCTGGAGAGATATCGTTAGTAACGTAGCCTTACTAATTGTGAGTTAAAACGAATCGACAACGAGAGTACTGTGCCCGCCAGTATAAGGCAACGATTGGTTCCTGCTAGGACAGAGAGGGCACAACAGAGTGGTCTCATCCGAAGGAATCGAGCGAGCGCACGTTTGTTGTCACGGTCAAGCTCGAGTGTGTTTAATTCATATTGTTGATTGAGACAGTAAACGTAGTCCCGCTTAGCTCAGTTGGTAGAGCGCGTCACTAGTAACGTGATCACCTTATGATCGCATTGCCACATGACGAGGTCAGTCGTTCAAGTCGGCTAGTGGGAATTTTTTTTGCGCCTGTCAACTTGCCTGCCAAGGAGCATTGCTTCAACTCGGTTAAGCCAACACATCCACGGGTCCCTCCACACGACAGAACGGACGGGTCTGGAAGCCATTCAGGTATTATGTAGAGGCTGGTGTGACATGGGGCAGCCTGGTATGATTGTATACAGCACCGACAGTACATTAATGTTGGAATAACGTGCTTCCGAGTCTGAAATACCTAGATCGATCGCATTCACTCATCAAGTAGTTTGTACTAGTACTGTACATTCCAGCTAACTTAGCATACACTCTGTCCGCAAAGACTTCCCATCGCATTTTGCTTAGTCCGGTAATCAAACCGCAGGTGTGTCAGAAATGCGATACGTCAGCTTCTGCCCGCTGACCTATAAGTAGGTCAATGACCGATCGATGCGAAAACTGAAAATGCATCGGCCTACCTTCCCATCCTCCATGTACTGCAGACCGTCCTTCACTCCAGCAAGTCCGTTGGGTTGTATGAAAACCGGGATAGGCTTGACCTTTCCCGTAGCGAGGATCCGTTTGAATAGATCAACGTACCACTTGCCATTTGTTCCCTAGAAAGAGGATGAGCCATACACGAAAGGATAGGTCATATCAATCGTACACGTCGAATCAAATTAGGAAGTATGCTGAAAGTAACTTCAACAGTCGGGCGGGGACTCTCGTAAGGAAGGATACTGGCGACTTTTCCACCCTTGTCTCCAATTGCGCCAGTGACCTGTGCAGGCGTCTTGCCCTCCGAGATCGTATCAAAGGCAATGTCAAGCGCATTACCAGTAGCTACGCGAATATTCTCCACGACGCCCTCGTCCCGGTAATCGAACACCTCGTCCGCGCCGAGTCCCTTGACGAGGTCAAAATTCTTGGAGGAGGCCGTCGTCACGACGCGGAGTCCGGCCAACTTTGCGAATTGGATGGCATATTGACCGAGCGCCGACGCGCCGCCCCAAATGAGAATGGTGCGTCGAGGCTGCTCAGCCGTGGACCTAGCCTCGAAGGGCGAAGGCAGCTCAAGACTCTCATGCAAGCATTGCAGGGCGGTTAGAGGAGCCACGCCCAGCTGCGCCGCTTCTTCGAATGACCAGCCGCCCGGGATGGGCACGACCTGGAGTTCAGCGTCCGCAACTACGTATTCTGCGAATGCGCCGTTGGGCTTATCGGCTGTGGTTTGGCGCTCACTACCGGGTGGAGTGCACAACGAAAATGTGCGAAAGGGAAAAACTGACTGCCAAATACGAGACCTGCGACGCGCTCGCCAACGCTCCACATTCCCTCAGGAACATCCGGGCCAAGCTCCTCAACGATACCTGCGAAATCGTCACCCACGATTCCGCCATACTTGGCCGCCTTGATCATACGTCCGAGAGTCTTCCCTGGATACGATCAGATAATATACGCAATGCGGGATATCAGTGAGTCCTCTGAAGCACCTCGAGTTCGGAAGAAAAAGAAAACTGACAGTCTGTAGGATTCTGCGCCGCGGCAACGACCTTGACGAGAATCTGACCAGGACCAGGCTTCGTCACGTCTACGAGGCCAACGGTGGCCCCGCTTTCGGACACAAAGGCAGCTCTTTGCTTGATGGGAGCCATTATTTCTTGCGCACATCAGATCAGGAGCTTTGTGTCCGGGAATATATAATCCCCCTAATCCGGGGCCCGAAGGAAAAACGGCCGCCTTGATAGTACTCAGCGCAAGACAATATAAGGTTCTCACTACAATCCATTATCAATCATTCTAGTTCCTTACCAGCTGATTGCAATTATTTTACCAATCTATCATCATCCTGGACTTGGCATTTGACCATTAGGGCCCAGATCCCGTGCCACACGTCTATCTTTGACGAATTCGTCCGCTCTTCGGCTCCCCCTATTTTCTGATTTTGTTTTCCGCTATACCAATGTAGGATGTGGTACGCGGGGATTCAGTGATGGCCCCACTCTCCCGTGTTCAGTGCACTACCACAAGAATGACAATGATACACACCAGCAATTGAGCCAGTGAAACGCCACGCTTCGAGCCCATACGAGCCGAGCCAAGCGCGTGCTAACCCAGGGGACGCGACAAACCACGCTCTTCCTGCGCTCATTCTTACTACTCTGCTTCCACCAAAGTGTACCAGTAATATGCTTTGAAGGAGGGAGCAGAGAGTGTAGGCAATCTGCGTGTTGCAGTTGTTGAAAGACACGTGGTACCAGAAGAGTGATGGTGACGGCAATATTAATACCGAGTTGGCTACCAATGGCGGGCCGCCAAGCCTCTTACGGGCCACAATTCGGAGTTTCTGACAGTGGTAAGGCCATAAATTTGTGCTGGTCACTTGTACGCACTGCTCTCTGGAGAGGCACTCTGAAAGAAGGATAAATCGACGCCATTATTTCACAATGCGCAGACATACAGCGAAGTCAACAGGACGTGTACTGTACCGATCGTGCATGGGAATCAAATCACGGTATGTCAACCAAAAAAATGCTATAACTAATGCACCAAGAGTCAAGAATGCATGAAAACAACTGCATATACTAAGCTAAATAGACGACACAAATTGTCATCGGGACAGAACTTGAACGTTGAAAGCACTGGCAGAGAGTACTTATCAATCCGCCAGTCCCAGAACGGCAACTCGTCTCGATCTGTGTCCCAGAGGGAACGGTTATAGTGTGGCCAGAGAGCTGTCGTTTAGCAACAAACTGCTCAATTTCTTATTAGACAGGTCCCGATAGTTGAAGCTAGAGTGCAAGGATATATTTTGCAGGTTGGGCAGCGCCTCTGTTATTCCGTGCCCATAACTTCCAGCGCAGACTTCTTGGACAAGTGAAGATTATTTACAATAATGGACGTGAAAGGCCTAGCCATTGGTCGGTTTCGATTTCAACTTGAAAACCTGCTTGCCAATATAGACCCCTGCAAAGGTTCGAGGAATCGCGCCAGGGACGAAAGCTGCCACCGGAATCGGATTCGTCGAAGAAGGCTATCCTCAAGTTGTTGAGTCGAGAGGCATCGATGTGTGCCACGAGGACCTCCAGATATTCGCCGAAGTCATCGAAGTTGAACTCGGTAAGCCCAGGGAGCACTGAGCGTGCTGATGGAGGCAAAAGTAGACTTCTCTGGTTATTGGGGCGGGGCGGGAATCCAAGCCAGGATATTGGACAAGATGGACAGGATGCGTGGTAAACAACAGTAGGGTTGGCAAATTCAGTAGTGGCTGCCCGAGATACTTAGATGTCTAGGAGGAGGTTCGGGGCGTGCGTTGAGATGGTGTGCTCGTTTTAGTGCATTGGGGTTGCTGGATGGGTGGGGGCTCGCCTTGATGGAGGTTGAAGGGCGTTGGAGTTCAGTTTGGCTGTGGCCCGAAGGCCGGTAGAGACCAGTAGCTCACTCAATGCTGCATAACCAGCTCGGACACTCAGGGCTTACAGGCGGCTATGAGCAGAGAGGCTACAAAAGGCAATGGGACAGTTGGTTGTCGTAGGGGAGGAGGAGGCCGGGAGATCATGGGGAAGTGAGGAACGTACGGGCGTTGTGGATGTAGAACTGAAGTGGGAGTAAAGGGGCAACTTGAAAGACCTATGCGTCCGTGCGGGTGCCCAGGTGCATCGGACTTAGCAGGGCTAAGGCCAAGGACCGGGGTTATTGGCAGACCGCCACCACCGCTACCCGACGAGGTGGTGGTGCCCGAAAGCGTGTTCAACGACCTCGTGGGACTAGACACGAAGGAGTTCGAATGGTACTCCGTGTGCAAAGAAGGCGTGGCGTCGTGGCAGCGAACGAGTCAACGTGGGAGAGAAGAAGCGGCGAGGATTTCGTTGGAGGATGAATGAAGTTGACACTCGCGTCGCGTCGCGTACAGTATTCATATGAAGCGGGGCAAGAGCCCGATGTTCCGTGAGCCGACGTTGGGCGGGACGTATCCTCATATGGAAAAGGGCGGGCGCCACGTTTTGCGCTCAATGTCCGGATTGTCTCGCATCATAACGGCTGTCAGAATGCCATGTGGCATCGGAAACTCGGAGCTCGGTGTCGGCGTGTCGGAGGAGTCGGCGTACGACTCGTTTAGGCTTGACATATTCGGCTTCCGAGCTCGGAGGCTGACTTCCGCAAACAGCGGTTTCACAAGTTCTCGCTTGCCTGCTCTCAATCAACGGAGGTATTGTACTGTAATAGAGTATAGTCATTATTACTGCTGAGCTTAACGATACGTATCAAATACAATAATTATAGACTAATAAATAAGCAAGTGAAGACCCTATACTACTTCAACTTCAGCCGCTTCATCTCACGCTGTAAAACATCCGCCCATTCACTCGCATGCTCGTCCGGCTCTGGCGGCGCAGCCCCACTCCCTCCGAGTCCCCTCGTGCGAGAGCGACCACCACTACCACTTCTACATCACCAACAAACTTGACACCAGATTCTTGCTGCGCGAGATACTTGACCTCTGCAAACGAATTGGTAGCCTGTGCTCTGAGCCACGTCGCATTTTTTGCGCGATGTCGCAAGCAATCTGGGGGTGTATACCCAGTAAGCGGTTCCCACCCCCGCGATTCCTTTTCACCTGGCTCCTTCATCGGGCGGCCATACGCCCATAGCGAGCCACCCGTGCGTTCTAGCACCTGGTTGATGCTGAGCGATTCACCAGGGGAATGGGCTTCGGGTGCGAAGGTGTAACACATGACATATCCACTTCCTTGCGGAGAACCGAATCAACATCCACTGCCGAGAAAAAGGCGATGCCCTGCGGGAGATCATCCATTCCGAGGCGATAAGCGAACAAGCATCGCGTCCATAAGTTTGCGATCTGAAGGGCGAGCGCCGCGCGATACCGATCCCGCTCCGCGACAAGATAGCGCAGTTCGTCGTGTACGGAGATAAGGTACCGCGCTTTGATGCGGTAAGTTTGTATAAGATGATCCATCGAGACGATGAGCAGGTGAAGGTAGTCCACGCCGGAGGACTGTACAACCCAGTTGATGCGCGAA